GCCCCCTCTGCAGAGCCTCCTGCCCTCAAGCACATCAACACACCCACCTAACCTGGTGTCCTCTGCAGACTTGCTGAGGGTGCACTCGATCCCTTCATCCAGACCACTGATATAGGAATTAAGCAGAACTGGCCCCAGTTCTGAGCCCTGGGGAGCACCACTTGTGGCCACTGCCAGCTGGGTTTGACTCCACTCACCAGCACTCTTTGGGCCTGGCCACCCAGCCAGTTTTTCACCAGCAAAGCAGATGCCTGTCCAAGCCATCAGCCAATTTCTCCAGGAGAAACCTCTGGGAAATGGTGTCAAAGGCTTTACTAACGCCACAACATCGACAGCCTTGCCCTCATCCACTGGGCAGGTCACCTTACCAGAGAAGATCAGGTTAGTCAAGCAGGACCTGCCTTTCATGAACCCCTGCTGACTGGGCCTGATCACCTGCTTGTCCTGTGTGTGTTTTGTCATGGCACTCGAGATGATCTGCTCCATAACCTCCCTGGCACCAGGGTCAGACTGACAGCCCTGTGGTTCCCCAGATCCTCCTTCTGGCTCTTACTGCAGATGGGTGTCACATTTGCTAACCTCCAGCCAACTGGGACCTCCCTGGTTAGCTGGCACTGCTGGAAAATGATGGAAAGTGGCTCGGTGAGCACTTCTGCCAGCTCCTGCAGTACCCTTGGATGGATCCTATCCAGCCTTCCTGGCCTCCTTTGCCCCTCAGGACTGCCATGGTCACGAAGGACATGAAGGAAGTTCACAGGGCAGTTCTACTGACCCCCCTTCTCACCTCCCCAAGAACTGAAAACTCTACCCTATCACGAGCACTACGCCCAGGGTGGCCTCCAACCTTCACAGCACCACAAGTTCTCTGTTGGCAAACAAGAGGGCTGGCAGGGACCCTTCTGTTGGCTTTTTCACCAGCTGTGTCAGGAAGTACCTTCCAGACACTCCAGAACCTTTTGGACTGTTTGTATTGTCTCCTGTATTGTATTTCTGGCAGACATCTGGGACATTGAAGTCTCCCACAAGAACAAAAGCCCCCACTTGGGCTTGCTCTACGTGGGGAGCTCTGCTGGGAGCTCTGTGAGCACCTTCCATGTGCAGACTGCCCAGCAGGGTGCCCGGGCAGGGTGCTGGGCCACAGCGTGGGTCTCTGTGTTAACCTTGTTGAGGTGGTGGTCCTGCAGCTGCTGGGGGTGCTGGGAGGGCACTGCAACAGTGACTGCTGCCTCCCCTGCTCCTGCTGAGGCCAGCCTGTGCTGGGGGCACTGAGGAGGGCTTGTCCTGCAGGGCTCAGGAGATCCTGTCCTAGGGGGATTCTTTTGGTTTTATGCAAGCACGTAAAAACCCCGGGAGCTGGAAGCTGGTGATCACCAGGGTCCCTTCTGACCTAAACCCCTGTATGACCCTGCGTCTGCCCCAGCCCACAGGTCATACCAGCAGTGCCACATTGACCCCCCTGGCCAGAATTACATCTCGTGGTAGAAATGAATGTCCAGGATGCAGACTCCCCTCTGGCCGAGAGCCCCAGGCCAGCCCTGCAGGGCCGGTCACAGGCAGGCAGCAGACCTCGCATTCCTGATGACATAGAAGCCGCAGGGGAGGGCTGGGAGGCCGAGCACACTGCCAGGACCGAGGGCTTCCTCCCTGAGCTCTGGCAGGGTTCGCTCGTCCACCATCCGCAGCACACGGCCGTTCAGCTCAATAGACCTGCAGAGGGACAGAGAGGCTGTTTGGGCAGCTGTGCTCCCTTGGCCAAGGAGCAGGAGCAGCCCTGGACCCGAGAGTAAACACAGGCTTGTCCTGAAGCCAAACTGAACCTCCCTGGGGGGTTTCTGTGTGTGCATCTGCTGCACGCCCTCTGCAAGGACTCCTGCAGAGCCCTGCCACAAGTCACCTGAAAAGTGCATCTCTTGCTCTTCCAGCGAGGTTAACCTTGTTAATTAAACTTAAAGTACAAATTTAAATTGTCTTTTCTCCTGCAAACAGAGAGATATCTTCCATGCACCAAGAGCAGGTCCTTCCCCTGACAATCCGTTAGCAGAAACAACAAAGGAAACCACAGAAAGCCTGAACCTTGCTGTGAATCAGGAGCCAGCACCCAGGAAAGCAATATTCCTGTGCCTGGACAGAAGGAAAAGGACTCCAGCAGCTGGGGCAGAGCCCTGAAGCATGCTAGGAAAAAGCATCCCAACTAACATCAAAGAAGCCTTCAGCAGCCTCATTTTACAAGACCTGATTTAGCAGAAGTCAGACTTTACTGACACCCTCCCCAATGACTGGATGGTGAATCCTTCCCCCCACCCCCTGGCAGGCTGAAGGAGGGGAGGTTTCAGAGGCTCTCCAGGCACAACCCTTCCTGCAGAGACAGAGGCTCTGCACGCTTACCTGGACAGTATGTTCTCTTTGCCATGAGGCAGTAGCAGGTACTGATCCACCTGCTTGCTCCATAAGTAAGCTGGCAGCTGCAAGTGCTGGGTGACGTTGTAGAGGTTTAAGGCAAACAGTGTCACATCCCCTTCCCTGTACTTTGGGCTGCAAGGCAAGAGAGAATGATGGCAGGCAGCAGGAGAGACAGGTCTCACAGAAATGACGTGGGTCCTCCTGCTGCCCCGGGTGGCTTTTGCTGGCCTGGGGGTGGCCATGGGCTCAGGTTCTTGTTCACCCTTTTTGGAGGCTTACTGGAGGCTGTTTGTGCAGTGAAGGTAGACACGGAGCTTCCTCTTGTTGGCTCCTGCCAGGCCAACCTGCAGCACCTTGGTACCCACCAGCTTCTTATAGAGCAGCGAGAGCCAGTAGTCCTGGGAGGCACAAAACCACACGTCAGCACTGGTGTCCATGCCAGGCACCCCAGCAGTGCCTCGGGGAACTTCCACTTTCCTGCTAGTTTCAGTTTTGTTTTGTCTTGTTTTTTTTCCCCATCATTTTTTGCTTTACCAAGTTCTCCCACCATAAACTCAAACACAACACTCCAGCACAAAGAGCAGGGCTGAAGGGAAACCTGCCTGTGGGCTGAGGGCAGCTGTGTTTGCAAGGACCTGGGAGTCCTTTCCCCTTCACAGCACATGCTGGAGCTCTTGCTGCTGGGGACAGACTCTCTGGAGCCTGGTCTGTGCAGGGGCGTTTTGGGACCAGCAGGCCACAGGCAGGCTGCACTCTGCAGCACTGCTGCTCCCAGCACAGCCCCAGGGCAGGACCTGCTCGGGCTGGTGGGTTTCGGGGAGCTTCTCCCAGCCCATCTGTCTGTGAGGTTTTCCTGGACACAGCAAACCTGTCGTGTGTCTCTCCTGACTTCACTGTGAGCCTGGAAAAGTGACTTTTCCTACCAGCCTGCACGCTCAGCCCTCTGCAAGGAGGAGCAGCCTCCTGACACTGCTCTGCTCTGTCATCTCCATGCTAACTAAAACTGATGGACCTGGGTCTGGATTTCCCTGCCCCTGAAGCATTATTGGCTTGATTAGCTTCTGTACTGCCTGCAGGTAAAGAACAAGGCACACCCTTTCAGTTCAGATTAAATCTATTTTAAATGATGGGATAAACAGCCCCAAGCAGCAACCCTGGCAACACAGCCCCTGGCAGAGGGACTGGCTGAGCAGGCAGGACAGAAATACTCCACATGCTGGGTTTCCTCTCTGATGCTCTCTGTGGCACTGTGAAAATCACAGCTCAGAACTGGAAAAAATGCTAAAAAGATAAAAAAAAAAGACACCATCCTCTCACCCACCACAAGGTAAGTGCTGCTAGCAGAAAGAAATGTGTTGTACATGTCAGAACAATGTGTAGTTCAAATAACAATGTTTCATCACAGCAGAATGCTATTTCCTAATAAACCCAGCTACACTAAATGCACATTTTCATGGAATCATCCTTCAGCCACTGCTGAGGGCTACATGTGCTCATGACCTAAGAAATGCTTGAGTCTTGACTTCATGCTGGTTTGGTTTCCACTTGGAATATAACATATTAAAAGGCCTTGTATCACTTCTGTTTGAAAGCTGCTCACCACTCAGCTGAGGAGTACTCAGACCAGAACAGTCTATCCAGAGAAGCCTTGTGAGCTCCAGCAGCTGTCTGCGTGCCAACCAGAGGTCCCCAAAATCAGTCTCTGCAGACTAGCTGCACCCCTGCAGCTGCAGGAAGTGTGTGCTGTGTGCGTGCAGCTCTCTGAGGGGTGAGGAGAGCTGCCTGTGCTGGCAGCTGCCTGGTGTTTGCAGCCCCAGTGCTGCCCCTGCAGAGCCACCCGCAGCTCGGGGGGTGCCCGCGGGGCGGGACACGTACCGGCAGCGGCTCCAAGTCGGCATCCACAAGGTGATAGGACCCTGCCCCAAAGAAGACCTGTCTCATCACCACATCGAGCCCCTGCCTGGCTGAGAGCCCAAGTTTGTCCAACCACCTGCCAAAACACAAGGTGAAGAACAGAGGTGAAGTGGCTGACCTCAGCCGGACACCACTGCCCCTCTCCAGCCAGCTGGGGAAGCAAGAATTAGGGCAAGATGCTAATTCCCTTAAAACCACATAACTAACTTCAGATCCTGTCTTGCACAGATTACCTTAAACAATGATTTCAGGTCACCTCTGGAGGTGCAAGTGGGAAGAGTTGCTCCACTGCCCTGTTTGCAGGTGGTGGAAACCAGGAGCATCAGTGGATCTCCCTGAACTTACTGTGTGATCAGAGTACTAGGGAAGGCCCGAGTACTTTTATTTCAGTACCTCCTACAACTGGAGTCCTTGGAGAAAACAGTTCTCATGACTGAATCTCCCTTTGGTTAGTTATGACCTTTGGCCACTGTTGGAAAAGGACATCTGTGTTGTGAATAACTTTCTGTCCTCACAACAGGATGGAGTCAGCACTGCAGAGCTGAGGGCAGACACAGGCTCCTCATTCCCCAGTTCCCACAGGGATCTGCCATCCCCTCAGCCCACACTGAGCCCCAGGCACAGGGGGAGCACACAGGGAGTGGGGAGGGCTGTGACCCTCAATCCACCCATTGCCTGTGCTCCTCAGGAAGCCTGGAGGAGACGTTCCTCCTGCAGCACACGCACAGCAGCCCCTCCAGCTCGTCAGATGTGTCCCTCCCCACCCCTGTGGCACGGCACTCACATAAAGCCAGCGATGTAAGTGTTGGACAGCCTGGGAGCTCCCCCTCCATAGGCAGAGCTGGTCTCTCCCAGCCAGACCTTCTTGTTGGGCACGGTCCCATCAACGATCTGGCCGATGTTGGGAAGGAGAGAAAGAGACAACAGTTGTTAGGCTAGTGAAACAACAGGCAATCAAACCTTGTGCTTTGGCCACATGCCTCTGTACAACACTCGCATCTGAGGGACAACATCAGCTGAGGTGGAGGACACAGAAATTTTGATCAAAAGGACTAGAAACTGATATATTCCCCTACCCTCCAAAAAATCGTGTCTACACGTGTAGAACAAGGCAAACCACTAAGAGCCAGGTCTTGGAAGTCTTCTCATGCCCAGCAGTGGCACTCTGTTATCAGGATCTCAAAGTACAAAGAGCTCAGAGGATGGCAGGGGTATGACTGTAAATCCCATCCCTGAGCACCAGCCACGTCAGCAGATGAGGCTGCAGGGGGTTTGTAACGTGTCTGGCACCACGCCTGCTGCATGCCAAAATATTTGGGCTCATTTATTAGCAGCATCATTACTTTTTTTTTTCTTTTAAATTTATGAGAGCAGCACCCAAGCTCTGAAGATCCTGCTTATTGCTAGGGAGAAACTGTACTTTATTCTGGATTCTCTGCCAACCCCCTAGAAAATGAACACGGGCAACACGGGGCAGGACAAGGCACCTCCAGGACTTGGTGCAGAGCTGTGGCAAAGCTGTCCAGCACGGCAGGGCTCAGGAAATCCTCCCTCGTTGCACTCCGGCCATTCACATAGTAACTGGGAGTGGAAAAGAAACAAACCACAGGCAAAATTAAGGAACAACACCACCCCTGGTATGAAACTCCACCAATAGTACTCACTTGCTTGATACATTCACCCACAGCCTTGTTTTTCTGCCCAGTTCTTCTCCTTTTTTTTGCTTTTTCCAACTGTGTAGGTGTGTTGTTTGTATTTAAGGGATTATCAGGTGTAATTACACCAGTGGAGGCAGGATATCACAGAGATTTTGGTCAACAGAAGTAGCAGGGTATTTTTTTTTTGCATATACTCATTAGAATGAGGAAAACACCACCGAGTAAGAGCCAGCTTCTGTAAATCTCCTCTTGCTGGGGAGCCTGGCACTCCTGTGGGATTACTTGTGTTTCTGCACCAAGTTATATACTAAAAATATCAGATCCCAGCTTTGGACCCTTTGTTGAAGTATTTTGGCTATCCTGAGGGGCACAGGATAGAAGGACCCCATCACTACAGGAGGAACGTTGGTCTCCACCATGAGCAGGAGAGCTGTTAAGTAGGGTTTGCTTAAATAAAGGACAGGAAATTTGGATTCCTGTGTTTTTTACATTTCACTGTGTTATCACTCAGTCCAACGAGAAGCCTTCCAGCCACAAGAGGAAGCTAAAACCTGATAATCCTAAAATTAGTAAAGAGAATAATGCATGCCCATTTAAAGTAAAGGCAGCCACAGGGCAAGAACAGTGCAGGAAAGGCAAAGGAGAAGTTTTATGCCTTGCTAGCAGCTCAAAATGCATAGATAAGCCATATACACATATAACACAAGCACGTGCATCTTTTTGCACTGTTGCCTGACTGCTGCACGTCACCATACTGCATCTGACTCTGGAAAGAAAACCACTGGCACAAGGAAAACACTTTCAAACACACGGAGCTCGTGGCAGGTGCCCTGGTGCCACCCTACCCCACTGCCCACCCCGAGTGCTTTGAGACTGCATCTCTAAACCTCTGCATGAGACCAGAGGGCTGGGACTGTGCTGTGTGCACTTCGGGTGGGGTCTGATGATGAGTTACCCACACACAGCCTGAGCTGGCCTGGAGAGCAATGCAAGGGAGCAGAAGCCTTTCTCCATGGGGGAGGGACAGCCAGGCCTGCAAGGCTTTTCATTTATATCAGGCAGACACACACAGAGAAAAGGGCAGCAGTAACTCATCAGCTAAGAGGGCTTTCCCTGCATGTTTTACATGAAGTCGTGTGCATTTGCCAGCAGGGTCATCGGTGCCTCCCTGAATTTGTTTTTAGGAAGTGAGGCTTTCACTCAAGCAGATTCAGCCTTTCTAATGGCAAGGACAACACCACTGTCAGTAGCACTGACTGCAGGTCAAAGCCCAGCCACCCACGGGTTGTTTAAGACTTTGTTAAGCACCTTCTGCTCTTGCAGGAGTCCAGCAGAGGCATCTCTGCCAGGCGAGGCTGAGCTGCCCTCTTCTCCTTGTTTCCAACACCCCTTCCTTCCCACGGGAAAGTGCATTTTACTTGCAGGGGTTGGCTTCTTGGAGCTTTGACACAACTGGGACGGCCGCTCAGATCTCAACCAGCTTTTGGTACGGGTTGAAACAGGGCACATGCAGACAGGCTCAGCTGCTGCAGAAGGTCCCATGCCAGGGAGAGCCATGACCCACCCCCTCGTGCTTTTCTGAGAAATAAAACTGCTGTGCTATCTTCTCCTCCACATCCCACTTCTTTTTTTTTTTTTCTCAGGGTCCATATTTAGCAAGCAAGGCTTTCATCTTGCACATCCCATCCCTGCTGCAGTGCCTCCAACCCTCTGCCACGTGGGTCTCTGCACCAGAGAACTCTGGAGATGCCCTGCACTCCTGTGAGGTGCTCCTGCAGCTCACCTCTCACGCTGAGCAGTTTGCAGAGAGGCACCGAGGGAACTGCTGAAAGGGACATTTCACCCCCCCCTCCCAGCTGAGGTGTCCAGAGGGACATTTCTGTGAGGACACCCAGCAGTGAGCAGCGTGAGGATGGGACCCGAGTGGTACTTACTGGTGCCACGTGACAGAGTCGATCACCTTCCCTCCGGACTTCAGGAAGCTGCAACCAGGGGGGACGTGGTGAGGAGCAGGGGCTGGCAGCACTGGCCATGGGCTGTGGGCACCCACGGCCCAGCCCCCCCTGTCCCCACGCGGGTGGCAGTGCTGGTGAGCTGTGCTGA